GTTCCATGTAATTTCGAAAAAATTCAGTCACTTCTTAATTACAGAGAATGAAGAATCGAAGGAAAACTCGGAAAAACAATTTTTATCGACGCTTCGATTTATGCTAGAATTTTCTTTTATATGAAATTCCAGTTCCATGAAATTTCGAGGAAATTCAGTGATTTTTTAATTACAGAAAAGTAAGAATCGAAAGAAAACTCGGAAAAACGATATTTATCGACGCCTTCATTTAGGCTAGAATTTTCTTTTATATGAAACGTCTTTTAAAGAAACAGTTCTGCAATTTCGAGGAAATTCAGTCACTTCTTAATTACAGAGAATGAAGAATCGAAGGAAAACTCGGAAAAACAATTTTTATCGACGCTTCGATTTATGCTAGAATTTTCTTTTATATGAAATTCCAGTTCCATGAAATTTCGAGGAAATTCAGTGATTTTTTAATTACAGAAAAGTAAGAATCGAAAGAAAACTCGGAAAAACGATATTTATCGACGCCTTCATTTAGGCTAGAATTTTCTTTTATATGAAACGTCTTTTAAAGAAACAGTTCTGCAATTTCGAGGAAATTCAGTCACTTCTTAATTACAGAGAATGAAGAATCGAAGGAAAACTCGGAAAAACAATTTTTATCGACGCTTCGATTTATGCTAGAATTTTCTTTTATATGAAATTCCAGTTCCATGAAATTTCGAGGAAATTCAGTGATTTTTTAATTACAGAAAAGTAAGAATCGAAAGAAAACTCGGAAAAACGATATTTATCGACGCCTTCATTTAGGCTAGAATTTTCTTTTATATGAAACGTCTTTTAAAGAAACAGTTCTGCAATTTCGAGGAAATTCAGTCACTTCTTAATTACAGAGAATGAAGAATCGAAGGAAAACTCGGAAAAACAATTTTTATCGACGCTTCGATTTATGCTAGAATTTTCTTTTATATGAAATTCCAGTTCCATGAAATTTCGAGGAAATTCAGTGATTTTTTAATTACAGAAAAGTAAGAATCGAAAGAAAACTCGGAAAAACGATATTTATCGACGCCTTCATTTAGGCTAGAATTTTCTTTTATATGAAACGTCTTTTAAAGAAACAGTTCTGCAATTTCGAGGAAATTCAGTCACTTCTTAATTACAGAGAATGAAGAATCGAAGGAAAACTCGGAAAAACAATTTTTATCGACGCTTCGATTTATGCTAGAATTTTCTTTTATATGAAATTCCAGTTCCATGAAATTTCGAGGAAATTCAGTGATTTTTTAATTACAGAAAAGTAAGAATCGAAAGAAAACTCGGAAAAACGATATTTATCGACGCCTTCATTTAGGCTAGAATTTTCTTTTATATGAAACGTCTTTTAAAGAAACAGTTCTGCAATTTCGAGGAAATTCAGTCACTTCTTAATTACAGAGAATGAAGAATCGAAGGAAAACTCGGAAAAACAATTTTTATCGACGCTTCGATTTATGCTAGAATTTTCTTTTATATGAAATTCCAGTTCCATGAAATTTCGAGGAAATTCAGTGATTTTTTAATTACAGAAAAGTAAGAATCGAAAGAAAACTCGGAAAAACGATATTTATCGACGCCTTCATTTAGGCTAGAATTTTCTTTTATATGAAACGTCTTTTAAAGAAACAGTTCTGCAATTTCGAGGAAATTCAGTCACTTCTTAATTACAGAGAATGAAGAATCGAAGGAAAACTCGGAAAAACAATTTTTATCGACGCTTCGATTTATGCTAGAATTTTCTTTTATATGAAATTCCAGTTCCATGAAATTTCGAGGAAATTCAGTGATTTTTTAATTACAGAAAAGTAAGAATCGAAAGAAAACTCGGAAAAACGATATTTATCGACGCCTTCATTTAGGCTAGAATTTTCTTTTATATGAAACGTCTTTTAAAGAAACAGTTCTGCAATTTCGAGGAAATTCAGTCACTTCTTAATTACAGAGAATGAAGAATCGAAGGAAAACTCGGAAAAACAATTTTTATCGACGCTTCGATTTATGCTAGAATTTTCTTTTATATGAAATTCCAGTTCCATGAAATTTCGAGGAAATTCAGTGATTTTTTAATTACAGAAAAGTAAGAATCGAAAGAAAACTCGGAAAAACGATATTTATCGACGCCTTCATTTAGGCTAGAATTTTCTTTTATATGAAACGTCTTTTAAAGAAACAGTTCTGCAATTTCGAGGAAATTCAGTCACTTCTTAATTACAGAGAATTAAGAATCGAAAGAAAATTCGGAAAAACAATTTTTATCGACGCTTCTATTTAGGCGAGAATTTTCTTTTATATGAAACGCCTTTTAAAGAAACAGTTCCATAATTTCGAAGAAATTCAGTCATTTCTTAATCACAAAGAATTAAGAATCGTAAGAAAACTCGGAAAAACAAAATTTTCTTTTATATGAAACGCCTTTTAAAGAAACAGTTGCTTAATTTTGAGGAAATTCAGTCACTTGTAAATTACAGAACTTTGAGATGTTGGAAATTGATTTTCAGATACCTGGCATGTTGAGCGGTCCCGGGCAGCAGAGACTGGAGGACATGTCCTGGCTGGCTTCCGGCCCGCCACTGGAATATCAACAAGGGATATCGCCGATTCCCGCGGGGGTGAAGATGTGCCATTCAGGCAGCTCGGCCCAGAGAAGTCTCAAGGAGCAACGGATACGTCGCCCTATGAACGCGTTCATGGTCTGGGCAAAGGTCGAGCGAAAGAAGCTCGCCGACGAGAATCCTGATCTCCATAACGCCGATCTCAGCAAGATGCTCGGTAAGTTCCCACCAATTCGTTATTAACTTTCTATTTATAAATCCTAACAAATGCTCCAATTTCTTTCACAATTTCTACTCATTCATTCTCCTCTTTCTATATTATTATTATTATTATTATTATTTTACTGCGTGAAGATTTATGGTTATTATAATATTTCATTTGTGTTCTACATGCAGTCTATAATGT